CACCCGCCCGCGCCCTCTCCCTTCCGCAGGATTCCAAAAACAATGCCCCCGGTGCCTGTCCTCGCCAGGCTGAGGGGGAACGGGCACAGAGCCGCCGCGGGAAGGGGAGCCGGTGGGCGGGGAGCGCGGGGCCGGGAGGTGTTCATTGAAAACAACAGTGGCGGGGATGGAAAGCGCGTTTCCCTGTTCTTGAAAAGCTGCATTGTTTCTTGCAGCTGTTGCAAAATAAATAAGTGCGTGCATGCGGCGTTTTTTTCGAAGCGGCTGAAATGCTCGAACAAGGAGGGAAGGGGCAAAAGGGGGACCCCGCGACACTACGACGAGCACTTCCACGCAAGGCTGGGCGCAGCCTTGGCGTCGAAGCCTGATATGCGGGAGTCGCAAGTCTGTGCGGGCTGAGCGGAAGGGCGCACCCCGGGTGGCTGGTGCGGGGGCGCGCGGGGACCAGGGCCCGAGAACGGGGGCCCAGACAGGCGTCCATGCGTGCCCAGGCTGGCTGCAGCGGCCGCCAGGCTGGCTGCGGCGGCCGCCAGGGGGCGGGCGGGCCCGGGGAGGACTGGCTGCGCGGTGTCACCTCCCCGCTCTGGGGCGGAATGCAGGGCCAGGCTGCGAGCGTGTTGGGAGACCCACGGCTGAGGGCGCAGGGCCGGACTCACTGTCCAGTGCTCCCCGCGGCCTCGCACGATTTGGGCTCCACCACTAGGGCGGCTGTTTGGAGCGCCAGGGGCATCTCGGCGCGGGGTTCTCTGGCCGAGCTGGGGGCGTGTCCGCGAGCCCCGGAGTGGGGTCCTCTGGCAGAGACAGACTTCCTAGCTCCACTCGGGAACCCCACACTACCCCCCGCATGGCCTGTGGCCTCACCTGTCCAGGCTGTCCTGGGCAGCACAAGTAACTGGGGACCACCACCAAGACGAAGTCGCCTCCATGGTTTTCTTGAATGTGCTGCGGAGGTTTTCTGAGAGGAGCCTGCGGTTCAACGCCCGTCTTGTTTTGAATAAAGCTGTGGAGACTAAATCCGAGAACCGCGCAGCCCTGCCTGGAAGGGGTTTAATACGCGGTGATTCGACCACGTGTCGCCTTTAGCGTGGCCCGCTTGTGGCTCAGGCTAATTGATAGAAATAATATATAAAAAGATGACTCATGAAAGAGTTGTAAATATCCAAAGCAAAGCAAAACACCGAACAACTCAAACACTCTGCTTTCCAGTCAGAAGCCATTCATACCTGATCCTCCAGGGGGTTTTCTTTCGGAGTCTATAAATCGCAAGGGACCAGGTTAACCATCTCTCTCCAGCGAAGCAGCTGGTGGATTCATGCCACTCGCTTTGGGTTGGTAGCACATACTCCTTATCCAGTCTACCACCAGATCCCCTAAAACTGTTTTGTGTCATTAGCAGACTGGTTAGAGAATTTGTTCTAAAGAAAAGGCAGTTTTCTATTACTTCCTAATTGTAAAAACTCTAAATTGCATTATCCTATAATACATGATACATTTTTTCCATTTCTAAGAACTGAAAACAAAACAAAAGCTATCATTTAAAAAGTTAGCCTTCCCCCCCCCAATTTATTCTCTAGATCATTTTCGAAATGCTTAGTTTAATTCAGTGAAGTCAATTGTCTAGAAAGAAAAGAAACCTTTTAGAATGTTTTTATTGGAGGGTTTTTTTAATTTGAAATTCAACTTTTAAATATTTCCACTTTCTCTGTTTCTGGACTAGAAAATGAAATAATGAGAGAAATTTATTAAAAAGAAATTTAGCATATATCTGTAAAAAATTATACGTCTACATTACAACTATAGAGATATAATTATAGAATGAATAATGAAAATGTAACCAAATTGTAAATATTTCTTCATACTTTCATCTTGTAGTTGATCTTGATGCACATGAATTCACTTTGGAGTTAGAAGTAACGCATATCAATATTTTCTTTAATGTCCAGAATTTTAATACATACTTATAAGACAGATCATTTTTAAAAGGCTAAAGATAATAGAAAATATTTAATTCCTGTCTAATATATGTTAGTACTTATTTAATTAAGAACATAAGAAATGTAATGAAAAATACAAAGTTCTTTCAGGCAGAATGGTTATTTATTTGAATTTTCTTGAATAAAATGTGTTGTCTTGAAGAAGTGGGAAACTGATGAGAATGAGATATTTTGGGCAATGTATCTATATGCATGCTTTTATATAGCTTGATATTTTGGGGGGAAATTAAAACAAGCTGCTTTTATGTTATGATTTGACTATGTAAACAAATAAGGTGATGGGTGGTTTTATGGGTTTTTTTCCCCATCAGTTATACTCTACATAGCCAAGGAAAATACCTTATATAAAGCTTGTATTTTAAAAAATCAAGTAGAAAAAAAATTTATAACTTTATAAGCATTTTTAACAATAAATCACACTTTTTTTGTAATTTTCCCAAGATATTGATGTTCCTTCTTTTGTTATTGAAATTAGTTTTTATTTCTGAAAGAGCATGTATCTGAAATGATCTCTCTAAAAAGTACCAAAGTCCCCCAAACTGTAATAAAGACCAAGTAAAAATATGAAGGGCTATCACAAACGCCCACTGATAAGTGGTCTATTTCCAGAATAGAATGTTATAAACACCAGCAAAAATGAGTAGACCATGAGTAGGCTACACACAGAATATGAGCAAAACTTTGAAAAATAATGCTGAGTGGAAAAAGCAAGATCTAAAAGGTCCTACATGACAAAACACCCTTTTATAAAGCTAAAAAATAAGCAGAACTAAAAATACAGCATAACAGTTTTAAGGCAAATAAAGTAAATATATGATAAAACTTTTTCTTTTCATTTAATAAGTAAAAGGGCAAATGAAAAACCCGAAACTCAGAACCATAGTTAACATTAAGAGGAGAAAACCCTCATCTCCTCCTCATCTCTTTCCAGATATACAATGATCTGGAAAAGTAGTCATTCTGTTATTGGATCATGAACTTACAGATTCCTATTTTAATTTCATGTTTTAAAACTAATAAATAAATTTTATATATCTGTATAAAATATTAAAGAAAATAGCAAACTCAATGAAAGGGATCATCCTAGTTTTCTGATGAGTCTTCCAGATTCCAAGCTGCTTATTAAACAGCTCAGAAGCATTGAAAGACTATTAGAATAATTAAGTTTATCCTTAAAGATACATCTGAGAAGTATGTGTACCCATACCCTACAAATGTAACTTAAGACCAAATTAATGGAACAAAAAATTAAAAATAATTATTCATTTCACAAATATTTACTTAGGTTCATTGATTAAGAATGTACTGAATAAATTCTAGATTTATATATGTTTTAAACATGATCCAGCAATTCCACCGTTTGGTATATATAAACAACACTTATATGGGAAGGGTTCTAGCTATAAATACTCTACTCATAATAGAGGAGGTGGGGAAACTCAGCCTTAAAGCAACCAAAATGTACATCAAAAGGAAAATGGATAAATTATGACATGTTGTTTTTGTTATGTACCGTTGAGTCACCTGTGACTCATAGTGAGCCTTTGTACAACAGCTCTAAATCCTTCTCTATCCTGTACCAATCTTATCTCTGACACACCTACTCCCATTACCCCAGTCACTGAATCAATCCATCTCATCGAGGGTCTTCCTCTCCTTCTCCAAGGATTGGTCCCTCCTTGCAATTTGTCCAAATTATATCAGATGCAGCTTCAGAATCCTTGCCCCTAGCAGTCCCTGACAGCAGACTTTCTCAATGTAATTAGTCTATAACATTAAATATAATGAGGAACAACATAAAGCATTCAACACATGTATAAATCTCAAAAGCAAAATTATGAACGTAGAAAATCAGACAGAA